TCATAGTTCCACCCAAAGCAGCAAAGAAAAAGTTCCCCGAAACGGCTCTTTGCAGCTTAATTTAGAAAGAATGTTAAAACTAAGCTTGTATGTACCGTGTTTAAATACAAAATAAGAATGCTCATTCAGGAAAACATTTCCATGTCTGGCAGAGAAAACACACAGGGCGGGCCTTGGCTCTGACCCATACGCTCTTTGAAATCTGACTGTCTGGTCCCCAATCCTTTATGTGGCAAGTGGAGGCCCTTCCTTAGTTATCATTTGACTGGTGGACAACACAGAGCTTCCTCCAGAGGCTTCTGTTCTTGCATTTTAGCGGGACTAACCTTTGAAATAAAATCTGTGATGTTTCTCGCCAGAATTAGCAAAAGACAAAATTTCTCTGAGAACACGGCCAGCAGTAGTGCTCTACCCCAAGCCTTACTCTCGAAATGAGAGAGGAACACAGGGAAGTGAGTGAGAAGACCTGCGAGTCCAAGACAACAGCCCCTTCCTTGAAAATACGTGGTGCATCTGATTTGGAGGTAGAGGTCATGCATTTCAGTAAGATAATAAGTACTTTTTAAAATGTGAATGAGTGATTCTGAGACTAGTAAAAGGCTCACTTGCTGTCTCTGCCTCTCCTGAGTCACTAGTTGTAAATGGAGCAGAGGTAACTTTGATCACAATAAGAAATTCTCTTGGCCTCACTAACCTGGTTTGATCGTTTTTGTTTACAATGAGAAGTCACGGTTCAAATATAAAGAATTGAATTTGCAGAGCTAATTGAGACAGTAGTAATTAAAGGTTATTCCCTACTGAGTGGACTAGTGGAGCCTTGGAAGTTCAAACCAAAAGGAATCTTGGGTTTCTGCAAAGATTCTTTTTGGAGGCTTTGGGAGAGGAGAGTGGGAGGCATCCCTTCAGGATGCGTGCTCTGTGCGCCATGACTACGCAGGACCAGCGCTCCTTCCTCTGCCACTCATGTACACACTCTCTGCCCTGTCACTGTCGCTGTGTCTCAGCAGTAAACCCTCTGCTGAGTCTTGAAATGGCAGGCACCCCTAAGCATGCTGCAAGCAGCTGGGATCAGATCCACGCTGGCTGCAGGTGGGACTTAGCTGCCCTTTCCCCCTCCTCTCTGCCCACCTAAAGTTGTCCTGGGGTTATGTTTGTTACTCAGCATCTACATAACTCCAGGCAGCTCAGCTGTGCTTAAAGGGAAGAGAAGACAACATTCTTCCCTACCCAGTGGTCAGGGGCACTCAGGAAACCACAGCCTGGCTCGGGGGCTCTACTTCCTTCTGGAGTCACCAACCTGTGTCCGCTGCCTGGCTGCTCATTAGCCACCTGACAGTGTCTTCATTAACGCCCCTACTCTGGAGCTGTCCATGGGCATGCAGCCCCAGAGTTACTGAACTTCCCCCCTGCCCTTTCTCTGCAAGTCACCGTCCACCCCTGGGGGTCAGAGAGGAGTCTGGATGCTGAGCTGAGGCCAACTAAACTCATTCCATTGGGTTACTGGTATTCCGAGTTTCAGAAACTTTCCTGAGAATTACAGTGAATATCGATGGAGCCTAATTGTGTACCAGGCCCTATGCCAAGTGCTTTACCTCATCCCATTTAGTCCTCACAGCAGCCCCATGAGATAGGTATACTAGTACCTCCATTTTACAGACTGAGGCCTGGAGAGGGTAAATCGCTTGTCCAGTAGAAAAGGTGGCAGAACTGGGATTTGGATCCAAGTGACCCGAAGTCTGAGCTTTCTTGAACTTGGCTTTGAGCCCAGCCCCAGGGCCTGTACCCTGCCGAGGCCCTAGAGTAAAGCCCCTCTGTCCCCTGCCCTGTGCCACCTCTCTTCAGGCCATAGGTGCTGGAATTACTGCACTTCGGAGGGCTCAGTCTACCAGGGGTGAGAGGCCACGGGTAGGGATAATGGGGGGCTTTCCCAAGGCCCCACTTCAGATGGAGCTGCCCAGATCCTCCTCAGGCCCAAACCCTCAGAAAGGGAAAATGGCAAGTTCACTGCCTCCGCAATTGGCTGGTGTTCACGACTGCCTACACTAAAGCTTATCCTTAAGATAGAAAGCCTATCAGACCCAGTAGGCTTAATCCAGCCTTCTCTAAGGCAGGTTTGAGTCCCCCTTCTCTACCCTCTCCATATTTGTCAAAACAACATCATGTGCCTCCTTGGTCTATTTCCCCACAGCTGCCCTCTTCCCCCTGTGCTGCACAGCCTGCCTCAAGGATCAGATTCCAGGTTTTTTTTGTTCTTATTCCAACTGGCCTCTGTCCACATCCCTCCTCCCCACGAAACCGCACTCCCAGCTCTGCAGATCTGAGTGGTGCTCAAATGCACGTGCACTGAGGGCACTCTGGCCAGAGGCTGCCTCTTGCTATCCCCACTCTTCCACTGTTCAACTCCCATCTCCTTGACAGATTTTTTTTGCCTTTGAGCAAATGTAAGACTTATACTGAAGTCGTGAGTAGTAAAACTGAAGAAGTCCTAACCCTGATTTTTGCAACACACCAAGGTATCTCCAATAATCTTAGGGACATTAGATTATGTAAACAAAATTCATTTTGCCTCAGTCTGATTAAACAGCAAGATGTATCACCCAGCCTGGAGGGAGGGCAGGAAATCCAGTGATGCAATTTGGGGTCATTAAAACCTGAGAAACTAGCACGGGGTGTTGCAACTCCAAAAAGAATTAAAGATCCCTCCCTTAATAATTTCAGGTCCACATCCCTTATCTGTAGCTTCAAGTCCAAGAAGCTGTAAAGGCCAATTTTACTTTTATAAATTTGGTGCCAAATTTTATGTGGGGGCAAATGTTAACTCTGGACTTGCTTAAATATTCACATTTCTCTGCAGAAGTAATGAAATGCTGCCTCAGATTCCACTGGAGGGTTGTGTGACATTTGGCATTTGTACCACATTACCTTCCTAAAGTCCCAAATGTTCTGAATTTGGAAACTCATCAGGCCTCGGGGGTTTCAGGTCCAAGCCCACAAGGCTGAGTCTGTAGTATGTGCTGGGCACCATTCTAAGCAGTTTCAAGTTAGCATCTCCTTTGCCTTTCCAATGCCCTGTGTGAAGGGAACTATTCCTTTCCCCATTTTCAGCTGAGGCCCAGGGCTTGAGTAACATTGCTTACAGGACCTGAATCAGTCAGCATCTGTAGCCAGATGTGAGCCTCTGATCTGTCTGCCTCCAGTGCCCTTGCTCAACCTCCCATGCTAAACAGCTGCCTCAAAGTCACGTGGCATTTGCCTTTTACTTTACGTGGTCATGAATAGTCCATTGAACTTGAATAGTTCACTCCACTGGTAAAGCAAAATTCCCCAGTAGAGAGATGCTGGTCTGTACATAAAAATGAGTTCCTATATAGAAGGCTGGATTTGGCCTTTCCGCTTACTCAAGAGTTTGTGTCTCTTCTCACATTTAGAAATAACTCCTTTAGAAAACTCAGACTTAGGCCAAGCATGGTGGCTCATGCCTGTAATCCCAGTGCTTTGGGAGGCTCAGTTGGGAGGATCACTTGAACCCAGGAGTTTGAGACCAGACTGGGAAATACAGTGAGACCTTGTCTCTAAATAAACAAACGGATAAAAACCAAAAAAGCACCCATGCCCCTCACAAAACCCCAAAGATCCAGATTCTAATGAATGTCCAGTTTTTCCATTGCAACCATTATCCACAAGCTAGTGAATGCCATGTCATAGGTAATCACTGTTCCTGAGGCTCAGCTTGGCTATCAGTAAAACTTGGGAAGTTTGCTTAGCCTGCTGGAAGTGAGAAACATGTTTTTCCCCACCATTGGGGCCACCATCTGTCCTTCTACAGTGGTTCCAGCTCTTGCCTCAAACACTCACTTTTTTTTTTTTTTATTATTTTTCTCTCCCCTGGAAGAGTGACCAGGCCTGAGTTCTTAGGTCTTAGAGTTAAAGGTGAGAGGCTATAAGAAGAAACAGGAGAACTGGAGACCCCCAGCTTGGAGGCCTGGAAGAATACCAGGTAGAGAACAGTGCTAGTGAGAGGACTTGAGTGAGAGTGCCAGAGAGCTCAAGAAAGAGCCAAGTGAGATTCCCCAGCCTGCAAGGCAGGGATGGCCCTTTCCCCTTTCCCATCAGGCTGGGAGTTGTTTAGGAGGGGGAGGGCTTAGAGCAGAAGGAACCTGCAAGGCTCAGAGGCCACAAAACTCCTGTCAATCTCATGGTGGGTATGGGGTTTGGAGAGAGCGCAGCTCATGTCTGTTCTTCCACAGCTACTGGGTTTTAGAACCACATCTTAGCCCCATGAAACAGATCTGGGAGAGCAGGGTCAGGAGGTAGAGTCCTAGTGATAGCAAACCCCTTATCAGCATGTACTGTATGCCAGGCCCTGGACAAAGTGCTTTAGATGTATTAACACAGTTAATTCCCAGACAACCTATCATCACCTTCATTTGTAAAGAAGGAAGCAATTAAGAGGTGACAGTGGAAACAGAAGGCTCCAGAGGCAGTGCCCCATGCATGGGTGTGTGAGTGTGGGCTCTGTAGCAAGATTGCCTGCTCTGGCCCAACTTGCTGTGTGACTGTGGGCAACATTGGTTACTTCTCTGTGCCTTCTCCCCCAACTCTCAAGGGAGTGGTAACAGCCCCTACCTCTGAGGATTAAAATGAGAAAAGGCAGGCGAAGCACCAGGTCCCATGCCTGGCCTCTGGGCACAGGCCAGCATGGGCTGGAAAGGCAGCTCTTGGTGGCAATAGCACCCCATTTGGGGAACCCAGCTTCTTGCCTCTGTTGGCAAAGGTCACTTGACCCCTTTATTGTGCTCCTAGCCCCAGGGAGCTTGGCTGCTTGGTCTTTCTCCCTAATGCTTTCTCCAACCCCACCTAGGCCATTGGTTGGGTATGATTTGCTTGACCCCAATCATTAAGAATTCTCCCCCTTAGCCAGCTGATCCAGCTCTGGGAAAACACAATCAGTCTACAAAAAATGTACCCAATTGAAGACAAAACAAAACAGAAAGGCTCACAATGATAGCTGGTGACACGTCTCCAGGCTGAGGATCTTGCCTGCTAGTGAAAGAGTTCCCGTGTTGATGCTGGGGCTTCACCGAGCTAGCTGCAGAAGTCCATGCAAACAGATGGCAACAGCCCTATAACAAAATCAAACCAAAGTACTCCTCAACTGCAGACCAGGGCCCGAGCCCCAGGTGGCCTGCCGTGTCCTACCTGCTTTGCCTGTCTCCACACCGCTCCCCCGGCCACCCCCATGGGAACTCTGCTTGCCGTGTGGTCTATCAAATGACCAACTTCCTGGTGTTAAGCACTCTGCATGGTTACACTCCAGGAAACCTGGATAGAAAAGACGCAACCTCTGTACTCTAGGGACTGCCACAGTCATACTCACACAGAGCTCTTGAATAAGAGGTCAGCGCCTGACAGGTGCTTCCCTTGGCCAAGCACTTTATGATATCTCCTCCTTGACCACTCTCCAGGAGAGGGAGAAGAAGGAGACACAGTGGGAAATGGAAGTACTGAGGACAGTCACGGAGAAGCTTCCTGGAGGGGATGGTGCCTGAGCCTAAGGAGCTGCAGGTGTTGGACAGGAGAAAAAATGCAGGAAGGGATGGCCAGGCTCAGGGAATGGCCGGAGTAAAGGCTGAGACCACATAGCATGGGCCAAGTGCTGCAGGCGCTTCTGGGTTATAAAAGTGCAACGCAGGGCCTGATGGATGCTGAGGGGCCCGGGAGGCTGGAGGGCAGGGGACAGCTTACAGGCCTCTGGGGACTTCTGAGCAAGTGTAAAACATGATCAGGCCACTGTTTTAGCAAGACGACTCATAGAGCAATGGATGGTTTATTGGGAGAGACCAATTAAGGGTCAACTGTATGCATTGAGACAAAGAATCAAGAGGACCTGGACTTGGGCAAGGATGAGAGGAATGGAAAGGAGGGATGGCAGATGGTGACTGAGTGTTCTGCGTAGCCAGATGTGTGACCTGGCCCCGTGGAGCCTCCTTGTATTTACACCCTCATGCAGTCTCCTCTGGCTTACATCTTATGAACAGAATACAGCAAAAGTAGTGGGATGTTACTTCCCAGACTAGGTCATGGAGACTGTGACTTCTGACTTACTGGCACTATCCCTCCTGCCTCTCCCCACATTATCCAGCTTCACTGGCACACTCTCTCATGCTCACTCAGATGAAGCCAGCTGTCATGTTGTGAGATGCTCTGCAAAGAGGCCATGTGGCAAGGAACCGAGGGAGGCCTCTGGCCAATAGCTCATAAGAAACCGAGGCCTCAGTCCAACAACCTGCAAGGAACCGCTTCCTGCCAGCAACCACATGAGTGGGCTTGGAAGCAGATCCTTCCCTATTGAGCCTTGAGATGACTGCAGCCTTAGGAGATACTCAGCCAGAAGACTCAGTTAAACCATGCCAGGATTCTTGACACCCAGAAATCAGGATGTGGGGTAACGTATGCATATAGTTTGAAGTTGGTGCTTGGGGTAATTTGTTATGCAGCCACAGATAACTAATACTGGCAGGGGTCACAGCAATGGTAACTGGGAACTGCACTAGACACATTCAGGTGGAATCAGCTGCATTTCGTGATTGAAAGGCCTGGAGGAGATGAGGGAGGGCAAGAAGTCAAAAAGTAATTTCAAGAAGAGCTCAGGCTCTGGAGTGACAACACCTGGCTTCAAGTTCCTGCACTGTCCCTTGCGAACTATGTGGCTCTATGCAAGTCTTTCAACTCTCTGAGCTTCAGTTTCTTCATTTGTAAAATGGAGACGATTAGAGTCACTACCTAACAAGTTCCTTTCACGGCCTGCCGGAGTATCCAGTACAGTGACGAACGGCACGCTGAGGTTGCTCAGCAAAAGTTTGCTGTAGCATTTCCAGAAGGCTCAGTGTTTATCCTTCTGCCAGCAGGGACAAGATTTAAATGCTTCAGTGCAATTTCCTTACACATCTTAAGAAGGCTTCACTAGTCTCGCTATGCAGCCCAGTGCAGGGAAGGCATTTCTGTATTCAGACTTGTCCTCCCTAGGTCCCTCCACCGGGAGCACCTTGTGGGTGAAACTTTCCTTCCAGGGAAGTTGTGTGACCTGAACAGGCACTGAAACCATAACCTTGGCCTCATTAACATTGTGCTTTTAACTACACAGGATTAGCTGACGTCAGTAGACTTTTTCAGAGTCATTTCCAGTCTCAGAGGGAACTATAGCCTGGATTTGCCCTCCAGAGTTAGATATTGGCAGCATGAAATACAGTTGTTATTTCCAAAACAAAAGAACACAGCCAGATATGAGATTGTCTTACCTGTCTAGGCAGAGCAGGCATGGGATCCGAGGCCACTGATCGCTGAAAACGCTGGGGTTGCTGCATCATCTGCTGCAGAAGGAATGAAGAATGGTCAGGTTGCTGCTGCTGTTGCTGCTGCTGCTGCTGCAGCTGCAAGGTGGCGGTGGCCGTAGAGGAGGCAGTGGCTGAAGATGCCTGCGTTGGTGTCGGCTGCTGCAGGTAGTGGAGCAGGGAAGGCTGCCTAGAAGTGGCAGGCATGGAGGGCATCTTCTGGGGAGCCGGCTCAGAAATAAAATGGGACAAGGGCTTAGTGTTGCCAAAAGTAAATGGCTCTGTGGCTCCTGGGCTGGAGCTTGCCATCCCCTGCTGCATGATCATGCTCAGGGTTTTGGATGAGCTGCTGGTCATGGGCTTAAAGATCGCATTTGCTTGCTGCTGTTGCTGTTGCTGCTGCTGTTGCTGCTGCTGCTGCTGCTGCTGCTGTTGCTGGCTTAGAAGATTACTGGTGGGAGTGAGGCTTCGGATCAGGGAGCACTGTGGGGTGAAGGACTGCTGCGGCAAGCCTGGGCTGGAGAGCTTCTCCGGGCGATAGGGTGGGGACGGCCCAGGGTTGCTGGTAGGCAGAGTGGACATCAGGTGTCCTTGGGGGGTTTTGATGGTAGAGGACACCAGGTTGGCAAGAAGGGAGCTCTGTGGGCCAAACTGTGGCTGTTGAGTGAGAGCAGGGCTGGGGAGCTTCTCAGGAGCATAGGGCATGGGGGGCCCCAAGGCAGCATTGCTGCTGGACGTCATGCTTGATAGTAAGGCATTGGGAGAGCCTTGAAGAGTGCTGCCCGACAAGGTGTTGGACGACATGCAGGACACCATGAGGCTCTGGGGGCTGAATGGGGGTGGGGGTGCTGGCAGTGGCGGTGGTGGTGGATGTGGTGATGGCACCGGGCGGTAAGGTGGAGACAGTCCTGGAGGAGGCAGACCAGACCAACTGGGGGTGGGCCCTTGCTGCTTTGTAGCAGACCCCTGCTTGCTGGCTGCCAATGCTTTCAGCTGGTGGGCGTGATGCCACTGAGGCACTGGTAAGGGGGGCAGAGTGACAGGGAGCATGGCCTGGACCTGGCTCTTGGACTGTGCCATTGAAGAACTCGGTGACACCATCTGCTTACTGGTGGAAGGAATGGTATAGCTGATCCCCGTGCAGGAGGGTGGGATCTGAAGTGACACACCAGTAACTTGGCTGCAGCTAGAAGCAAAGTCCTTGCTGGAAGCCAGGCTCTCCAAGTGCGACATCTGAACCGAAGGCTTGGGAGTTGTGCTTAGGGTTGCCTGGGGATGATCTAAAACCAGTGGCTCTTCTGGTTTGGTCCCCAGTATCTTCTCAAGATCTAGCTCATTCAGAGAAGGGTCTTGAATTTTGGTGAGCTCATCTAGCAGCTCCTGAAGCTCCTGGTCTACAGCCGGCACATTGCTGGCTTTCTCATAGTAAGGAACAGCTGGCCCTTTCAGTCCCACTTCTGTAGTCGGTGGCACCACAAATGGTGAGCCCATGATGCTGCCGTTCATAGCGTTATTCTCGAGCAGTAACGGCTGGCCCCCCACTCCCATAGCCGCAGGGCTAGGATTCATTGTCAATGGAGGGACCTGCAGCTCTGCACAGGCAGTACCAGGATGGGTGCCCGGGCCCATAGCAAGGGTGACATCTTCAAGGCAAGGCCTCTTAATTTTATTAGGGTAGCCCCCGTCAGCCATGTCTGGAAAGTGGAAGTGGTCTTCTTCTTGTCTCCTCTTAACAGTTCCCTGTGATTGAAAGAGAAGAGAAGATAGAGGAGAGGAGAGGGGAGGAGAGGAGAAGAGAGGAGAGGAGAGGAGAGGAGAGGAGAGGAGAGGAGAGGAGAGGAGAGGAGAGGAGAGGAGAGGAGAGGAGAGGAGAGGAGAGGAGAGGAGAGGAGAGGAGAGGAGAGGGGATGAGAGGGGAGAGGGGGAGGAGAGGGGAGAGGAGGAGAGGAGAAAGAAGAGCAGAGAATAGAAGAGAAGGGAAGAGAGGTGAGAAACACAACAGACACACACACACACATAAACACACACACGGAGTGAGAGACAGAGAGAGAAAGAGGAATTTTTTATAAAGGCTTGGTACATTAAAGCTAATGAACAGGAAATCAGCATGATAAAACAGATCTCTCAGTTTAAAGACTTACAGTTGTGAAAACTATAAAATACAGCCTGTTTTTTGGAACCATAGTGCTTATTTCTTCATTACTATGTTTCATTTAAACTGTCTTATTACATTTGTGTACTAAAATGGAATAGAACGGTATGCAAAGGGTGATCTGCCCACTTCAAGGAGAGTTCAACGAAAGTATGCAGAAATCACTAAATGAACCATGCTGCCAAAGGCAGGCATTGGAGAGAAAACTAGAAATAGCTAAATACTTTTCATTCTTACCTGTCTACAGGCACATAGATTTTAACAAAGGAATACCATGGTACAGACTTGAGCTTTTAAGCTGCCTTTTTGTCTTGGTTAAACACATCAGGCTGCAGTGATAAAACAGAATGCAACAGAGCCCTTACAGGAAAGAATTGGATCTGGATGTGTTTTCTTGGGAAGCTGTTTAAAACATTGTTTGGGGGAAGGCATAAATTTCATAACAGTCATTATAGGCATCGTATTCATTCTTCCATTTATTTTCACACACATACACGCACACACACACACACACACACACACACACACACACACACACTGCTATGTGTAACTAAAAATAATTTGGAAGAACCTATATCCATCAATTTGGAGTAGTCATTTCTTTGGGATGACTGGCAATTCCCTTTCTATTCTCTTCATTTCTGCTTGTCTTTAATGAGAAGGACTTGTCAATCAAAAAATTTAAAAAGTATAAAATTATCTAAATAAGAAATTTCTCTCTGAAGATGCATTCTTGGGTTGAGGAGATATCAAACAATGGGAAAAAGCTCTAATCTGGGATCTGAACCTTGGGGGAGCTGCCCACCATTTATAGAAGCACAGTCTTTGGAAACAAAGCAAAGTCACTAGCAATGTGAGGCTTCCTGCTCTTCATGGCTTCATACAGTCATCCATCACTGTTATGTTAATGACCATGATCTGTATGTTAGCAGGTAAATGGGAAAGGAAGTGGGGGCAAAGAAGCATGTGCAGGAATGATCAAAATAAGGCAAGGAAGAGAGGGATTTGGAAATCACCTGAATGCCGACAGGTGAACAGATAGAATTCTTTCAAAGCATTTTTCTTTTTTTTTTTTTTCCACAAGAAACCCCTTTTCAGCTTTGGAAATTTCACTGGGACATACAGTGCTCATCCTCTGATGTCACCTCACATTTGGCTCTTCTGATTTGATGAGCTTGTAGCCCACTAGGAGCTCAAGGGAGTCATGGGGCCACTTGCCAGCACAATGGGGGGCATGACTGTCACAGCCAAGTGAACATCAAAGTAGATCCCCAGGGTTGTATGTTTCAGGCCTTGCTGCACATCAGAATCACTTAGTAACATCCATATTCCCAGGCCCTTCCACCACAAACTGACTGCTTCTGTCTCATCCAGGGTGTGGTCCAGGCATCAGGAATTTTTCCAACAGCTCCACAGCTGATTCTCAACAGGCAGCCAGGCAGAAAACCACTGGGCCAGAGCAAGGGTAGAGGCAGCATGGCATAGGGCTCTGATCTTGGCCTTGACACTGAACCTCTCAGAGCCCATTTCTTTATGTGTAAAATGAGTGTAATTGTAGTTTTTTTCTTATGAAGTTGCTGTGACTAGTAAGTGAAATGGGGCACATTGTATGACACCTAGTCACTCCTCACTAACTGGTACCTGGTTATAAAGGGCAGGTCTGGAAGTATTCTGGGGGTCCAATCCCCTCCTTAAAGACAGGGAGGTGTCTAAGACCCAGAGAGGGGCGGGCCTTGCCCAGAGTTGCTCAGCCAGAGGGCAACAAGGCCCAGGTCAGATGCTGGGCCCTCCACCACCACTCAGCTGCCTCCAGACCCACTGCCTTTGCCATGCAGATGGCAGGACACTGCATCACTCTTGCAGAAGGGGCTTATCAACTTGAGCGAGAACACTTGCACACTTCTTTTACTTTTCTTTTGAGATGCATACAACCTGAACAAGGGCACTTCAAGGGACAGCTCTGTCACCAAACTCATCTGAGGCCTGAATACCATGGGTCAGGCAGGAATGGGTTGAAGAGGGGTATAGCAGGCACAATAAGAGGACTGAGGCCCATGCAGTCATCTGTGCCCACTTTCCCAGGAGACTGAGTGGGCACAGCACCCATAGTGCCCCTGAGCTGGCCCATGGAGCAGCTTACTATTTGGCCCACAGCAGGTGCTCAGTAAATGGCAGCTGAATGAATCAATGGACAAGGGAACGTAAATGGCCCACACAGAAGTTCAGCCATTTACTCAATCCATTGTGGAGCAACCTACAAACAAGCCATGGGTCCCAAACTGAAATTGTGTCTCTTCTACATTCTCCCAAAGAATCCAAAAAGATCAAATAGGTTAAAAATAGAAATGTATGAAATAGATCCATCAGGGATGATTGCGTGTGGGTTTGACATAAGGATCCCCTGCAGGGAGTCTGAACTGGCAACAGTCAGGCCCAATGTGCGGTTCATGATGTCTTGAACTGCAAGACAGTTGTAACAATGGCAAAACAATGCAGAACCAGGCAGGCCAAGGATGAGTGGGTGATGGGGAAAGGAGCGGAAGGCAAGGGCTGTGAGGGGCAATGGCTTGGCATCCCTGCCAGGTGAGCCTCTGTAATCTGCTGGCAGCTTCTGTGGGCTCCCAGAGCTTTCACTTAATTGTTCGTCTGCCATTAACCTGCTGGAAGTAAGGTGCAGGAATGGAGGAGGCAGGGCATGACCACCAGACACTAATGGTACCAGCAGGGGCCACTGGCAAAGGAAAGGAGGCTGCACCTCCGCTACATGAGAGCCTGTGTACACACACCTTTTCCAGCACCCATCAACTGCATCCCAAGAAAATGGTCCCTGATCAATTCCAATTCTAGTAAGCAACTGACCCCTCAGTAACAAAGCAGATCCCAGGAGACCCCCATTGCTGGAGCGGATGGTACTTTTGCTATGCCAAGCCTGTGGCTGGACACTCATTGAATGTTTCAGGAGGATGCCTAATAAAGGCAGCAGGCTCACCTGGCTGTTCTCAGGGGTGGGATTGTGGGTGCTGACTGAGTCTGCTGTTTTGGCAGAGTGGCAGGCTGCAAGCCTCTTCTGAGCTTTCATTTTTCAATAGACTTCAATGAGACTCTACTTTGTCAGAGGCCATGCAGCTCCATGTTTTGGATTTCATGGAACGAGCTTTCAACAGTGAGCCTGAAGTGCTCTGGCTGAGCAGCAAGAACACCAGCCAACCCTAAACAAGGCCGAGGAGAGGTGGCTGTGTTTACATGGAAGTGCTTAGTCTCGCTGTAATAGCATCTGCTTTCACCAGACATCAGTGAGGCGTGGAAATCTATTATCCAGTTAATTTTGCCCCCTAGATAAATGCTTGCTTTCGTGTCTCCTCTTTCGCAGTTACTGCAAGAAGTTGGCTGGGCTTTCCCCTGTGCCAGTGCCACACTCGTGCCTTCACTGGGTCACCTATGGCTGTGGCTGATGCCACTGAGGTTTTTCCTGCCCAGACTGGGTGTTTCTGACTAAATCCCACAGCCACCATTTTAGATAAAGGGCAGGAGATAGCTCACTGCTCCGGAATGACCTCCCCTCCCAGCATCCTGGGGTGGGGGGTGGCAGGTCCCCAACCTAGCTCCCAGCCCTTTCCAAATGAATCTTCCTGCTTCACCCATGTGCCTTTTTTTCAGTCTCTATGGTATTAGTACTAGCTGTCTCACAGCTACTACTTTCTTCAGCCCTCTCACTGTGACAATCAATAGACATTGGCAGGATTTCTAAAGAGCACATCTCAAGCTTCTCTTCTTACACAAAATATAATGGGATATGATTTGGTTTTAGACAATTAGCTAAGGGATAAGGACATTGGACCCCAGATGTCCCAACTCCCAGAGGCCCTGCCTTTGGTGGCGAGGAAAGGGGAAGGAGTGAGTGACAGTGCCCTGGCATCTTTTAGAAACAAATTCCTTTCTCTCTATACATAAATGCCTGCAGAGTCCCATTTCAGAATCCAGCGGACAAAGCCACCAATGTGATCCCCATGACCTTATAAGCATTAATTAAAATGCATTTCAGGGCATGTGATGGCCTCCCCACCCCCTAAATAATGAGAAACAAAGGTTTCCCTTCTGATGGAGACAAGTTCAGCTCTGAAGTCAACATTATTTCTGGTTCTGTCTGAACAATGACATATGGCAACTCTTCCTTTTCTGTATTTCTAGTCCAGAATGACAAAAAGGGGAAAAATTTCTTAGAGAAGGTAGAGATCATAAGAATACAGTCCATGTTCATAAAATGAGCTTAAGGAGAATAAAGAATATAACTTGAAACTCTTTGCAAGGAAGTCTGGCAGGCTGTTATAAATGCTTAATTTTAAAAACTGTAGCTGTAGGTTTAACATGGACACCAATAAAATGGCCAGCAAAGGGTATGCACTATTCCTATTGGGAAGAGGGTAGGAGGTCAAAAAGGTAGCCAGGAAAGATAAACTCAGGGGGGCTCATTTTCCTTCCAGAGGCCACTGGGCATGCAGGTCCTGGACAAAATTGGCACAAAGGTAAAACCACCTGTGGTTTTTTTAGTCTACTCTTTTTGCTTCACCATTTTGCTAGCTGGTTCTCC